GGCGAAATCATAAATTAGCGCTATATATGTCCGTGCCGTATATTATATTTATAAATGATTTCTTAGCGGTATTCATAAATTAGCGCATCATTGTCTGTGCCAAAGCCACTAAAATATGAAGCTCGCTTTTTTAAGTACACATACAGTGTATCAGAGCTTACAATTCTGTTAGAGCACAGTACAATAAATAGGATAATCGTCACTGTACTACATGAAAATATTAATTACTCATTTTTTAAGCAAAACAAATTCAAAAGCGTAAATTTTATTGTTTTGGCGTAACAGCGTATTTTAGTTGAAAAGTGTTGAAATTGATTTAAATATGAGTTGAACATATGAATGCGATAAATAATTTTATTATACTTCTGTTAAAATGTTTCCTATATAAAGTTAGAAATAAAAATAACTATCTTTATAGTCTCAAAATTTCGACACATAGCAAAGCTATACCCCGGGGTATAGTTTTTGCTATCCACACCTCGGAAAATTTTCATGCAATTTTTGCCGCCAATTTTGATTTCCTGTAATCAATCTATAGACTTATGATGTCATCCTGACTTAAGTAGCATTGTGACGTCATCAGGATTTCAGCTCATTCTAGCAGTGTTATCTTATTCCAAATACTAACTTGTTCAAAACTTTTATAATTATTTTTTTTCCCATGTTTTTACTATCGGACTGTAGTATCAGGTAAATCCAACCCTCGGAAATTATGATATACATCAGTATAATAAAACGCTTATCCACTGGCTGTGAGTGGGATAGCTCTTTCATCAAACCCTTGACAGGAACTATTCCCCTCGGGCAAGCCCTCGGGGAATAGTTCCTGTCGCGGGTTTGATAGAAGAGCTATCCCACTCGCAGCCAGTGGATAAGTGTATAAAAACATATGGCATGATGGAGGACCATAAACAGAAAAGGCCTCAAAATGACTCATTTTAGGGGCTATTTGTCTTGAGAAAACAGTGTCCACAGCCGTCGCTCACTTATATTTTCAGATATTTTGTAAAATCCTTTAAAAAAAATTACATTTCTCAAAATCTTTATGGGCGATGCATGTGCATATCTGAAATAAAATTCCACTGAAAATTGATGTCATCTGCAACTTTTAAAGAAGATAAGAGAAAATGCACAAATTCACGACGTCATAATTAGCATTTAGGAGGTCCTATGAGAAAAACAATTTGTATTTTCTTACTGCATGGAATTTCTATGATTCAGAAAGGATGAATTTTAATTTCTTAAATCACTTTCGTAGTTTAGAAAAAAAAAATACAGGGTCAGATTGGTATCGAAACTGTCTGTACCTTGTTTTTCGCCAAAAAGGGAAGGGTAGGCAGGTCTGCACCTTATATGCAAATTACATTTTTTAAAAACTTTACTCTTCTGTATGTATTGATTCCAGATTAAAACCTATTTTTGACAACCTGGTTCACATTTATACCTTCTATTTCCATAGCCAGAATACCCCAAATGGTAGAACTGCTGACTTTATAGATATTAACACCGCGGGAATTTTTTTTAGAGTCGTGGTTCGAATCTACCAGGTGACATGCTTTTATTGTTTAAAATCCTCGCCTTCTCAAAGACTATTTTTTATAATTCCTATGTTACTAAAACACAATCACTCAGCATTGAACACCCCTCGAGGACAAGAATTATTCACTCTGTGTTACTAGATACAGGTATTCTCGCCTGTAATGAGCTGCGATGGATTTCTATTTTATATATATGTATTTTCCTTCGAATTTAACCCTCTGTACTATTAGTACTTTTCCGGGTTATTGCGCTGGAAAGTACACATATTGCTTGCATTATATGAGCTAAAATAAAATATTTAAGGAATGACTCTAATTCTTGGCCAAATTATTCGAGTATAACCTGGTTTGGGTCAGTTTACGCTTTATAATCCGCGAAGCGGATTATAAAACAGCGTAAACTGACCCAAACCAGGTTATACTCGAATAATTTGGCCAAGAATTAGAGTCATTCCTTATAATTTAATTTTAAAATCATTAAATAACTATGGGTGTAAAATTTCGTTGCTTTTTATTAGTTCAAATTTGCCGCTCAATAATACAACCGTAGTAACGGAAGTACCGGAAGTGATGGGAAGCGAGGGGAGGTAAAAACTGATACATAGGCCTAGCAGCCTTGTTGTTTGTTTACATGTGGTAAGATCGAATTATTGTTTGGTACATTTATTAAATCTGGAATTTTCCATGAATCCCGAGGACTGGAAATGAGAGGATTGTATGGATACAGATGATTCAGCTGGTTGTCAGGGGGGTGTGTCCCCATACCAAACCAGGTTATACAGAAATAATTTGTGTTCCTTTTTGGATATTAACCAATCAGAGGCTAGAATACAAACAAAATTAAATTATTTAGAATTACATATATATGTTCTTTTGTACTGAGTTAATGTTCTCAATTCAGATCTCAAGTTTTGAAACAGTAGTGTTACATATTAGTAACCGAGCACTCCCTTGAATTTCATTTACATAATTTGTATGCATTAATGACATGTTTTTTAATAATATCCACGGAAATGTATTGTAAAAAAACCCACAAGAAAATTACGATTATTACAATAAAAAGTAAAGAAAAACATTAACAAATACCGGTTACATTTCGAGACAATAAACTCAAAGTGTGTTCACAAAACGAGGGGTGATCAAAAAGTTCGCGAACTATCTCTATATTTAAAAAACCACAATTCAGATCAGAAGGAAATTTGGCATACAAATACTCATAAACATGTTCTGTAAATAAAAGATGTAATGTTTTGATCCATTTTATGACGTCACAATGTGAAAATGACGTCAATATGTAGGTGACATGTGATGAAAAATGGGTGATTGTCTTACTCGAGCAAGGAACGGCTGTAAAGTTTAACGTATATCTTTCCTTTGCAGTGGAATATAATAATTTATACAGGGTTTATGGAGACAAAGGACTTGCAAGAAGTTCAATCATTAATTGGACTGATTGTTTTAGTTTAGGAAGTGAGATGGTTAAAAATGATTTTTGTTCTGGTGCTCATTGAAAGTCATTCGGCAAACCTCGGCTGATTCCGTCATCTTCATCAAACCTCGTCTGTACGAGGAACTTTATATGCGTCTCCGTTTAAAATTTGTGATAAGGCTGCCTGTTTACCGCTTAGGGAAAACGTAACGCTTTGAAAACGATAATAAACATGCATCTGACATACGTTAAAACTTTCAAAAGTATTTAGGTAACATTAGAATAACACTTACCAAGAAACATACACCTAGTATCTTTACATAATCACATGTTTGTTAATTATAGGGCGCAGCCATATTGCGTATAAAGTAGCTCCGGTCCAGTGGAGGTTTATATGATACAGCCGAGGTTAGATGAGGTACGAATCGGCCGAGGTGTGCCGAGTGCATTGAAAGTATGCTGGGAAAGAGATGTGCCTTACTTAAGCAATTTGTTATAAAAGATCGTCAAGTTACAGTTAGAAAAATAGTTGAATATCTTAAAATAAAATAATTATTAAATCCTGAAAATATCATTAACTTTCGATTTTAAACATTTCAGTTATGATAAAGAGAACGCGCCCATACTTGATTCACATTAAAAAGACACTTCCAAGACAGAATAGACGGGTTGTGATGGTTACCATGCTCATTCTGGTAAAAGATATCCTTATCCACCTATCCTATTGTCGAAGTTTGGCAATTTTTGATAAATGGACTATTCTTGTTATAAAAAATAACCTGCATGGTAATAAATATAAGACTCGGAAAATCTTTTAGCTGCTGTGACAGAATGCTACGGAGCATGTCACGTGACCGCCTGGAGCACGTGTTTCGTGCATGGGCAGAACGGTGGCAGATGTGCATTAAAACCGGAGGGGACTTCTTAAAAAATAATACATTGAAACATAATTTTATTTCTTTTAAAGAAGTAATTCAATTAGTTCGCGAACTTTTTGATCACTTCTCGTAACTTGCTACGGTGCTCCATTTAGTATCACTTAAAGAGACACTAAAGAGAAATCCTGAATAAAAAAATAATTTGCATCTTTTAGTGGGAAAAAAGTTTGTTTGTGGCAAGTGGCATTGGACATTTTATCATATAAAGGATGAGGAGGGAAGGGCTGGTAGAGTTTTGTTGAGCCAGATTGTTAATTTACATGACTTCGCAGGGAAGAATATTTTAAAGATGATGGGGGGGGGGGGGGTCATCATAAAAGGTCGACATTTATTTTTTATCTTTCCAGTGGAGGTCAGATTATTTATTTTTCAAAATTGTTAAAGACAAATCAGCTATTTCCTAAACCTGCTATTACGACCCCCCCCCCCCCCGCCTTCAAGTCAAATGGTCGTTCCCGAATTAGCTGATGGCAGTTCTGTAGTTGATAATTGAAAATTAAGAACACCATTTGACTCGTGATATTGATTGCTTGAAAACAAGTATGGTTAACTCATAATTCGGTGCAGATCTTGCCAAAATTTCACATTTATTGTTGACCAATTCACATATTCAATAAATCTATTTCAACTCATTTTTAGATACATTTTAATATCATGACAGTTTTCCCTTTAATATGGTTGATATACTAGTATCATAGACATTAACTAATCTTTCGATTTGTTTGGGGGAGGGGGACTTGCGCCGCACGCCTTCTAAATATTCCAGTTGTGTCCTGTGTGTATTTTAAAACAGACACCTGTATATATTTATGCCTTGGTGAACTTTAATTCGTTCACAGCCCCACTTCATGATGTGTAATATTATCTATGAATGTCCTAAATTTAGATTATTGGTAGGCGGATTTCAACAAACATGGCAGTCAGTAAACCAAAATATTCGCCGGGCTCTCCCCAAGAGCATATTAAAACATGTGGATTCCACGATTTACTTATTGATATTATTTGTGAGGACTGTGATAGATTTTTTGTGCTAAATGTGCTAAAACAGATCATAGAGAACATGACTGGAATACCATATCCTCGGAAGCCAGCGAAATGAGGAGGGGTCTAGTGAGATACCTGAAAAAGTTAAGCGAAGAGGAAATTCCACAGATTGATCAGAAAATAGATGATATATCAAAACAGATCACAGAAAATGAAAATATTTGTGATTTTCAAATTGAAAGTCTAGGAGAACATTGTAAGGAAATAATATCAAAGATAGAGGAAGCTAAACAACACCACGAACAGGCATTAAGAGACAATCTGACTAAAAAGAATACACAAATGAAACAACTGCAATCTAAGTTAGAGAGAAATAAGGAACAGATTCTTGAGACAGTGGAATATATTACAAAGAACAACAATTTAATGTCTAATTATAGTTTGATTGACAACCATAGGGAACTGGCACGTTTTCTAAGAAATATTTCTACTTTTGATATAGAGAATTGTGAACACTCGTTGAAATACAGAAAAGGAGAAGTCAGACAAGACTTCCTGGACAATATGATTGGAAAGACTTTTGATTTAGACAACATCGTTCTTGCTGAAACACACTCATTTAAATATGGTGATAAAAGAATAATTGCATTGAAGGCATTTTCTCAAGATCATTGTTACATCGCAGAAATTCATTCAGATTTTATTGGACAGGTAAACAAAAATGGCGACAGAGAAAACAAATTCAGTATTTCTCCAAATGACCTGTGTGTTACTGATACTGGTGATGTCTATATTACGAATTACAAGGATGGTACCATCACTCTTCTATCACAATCAAGAGTCGTCTCTAAAGTGGTCAGTACAGACCCTCTAATTCCCGTAGGAATCTGTCAGTCAGTGGATGGTGGACTTTTGGTTACCTTCAGAGATAGTAAACCAGATATCTTTAAAGTAGAATCCGATAGCAGACGTTTGGTGAGACACGTTACATTGACTGGTGACGTCATCAATGAGTTTGAATACCAAGGGGACAAAATGACCCGTCTCTTTACGTTACCATGGCGAATCACACAGAACGGCAATACACAAATTTATGTTGTGAACAGGACGAGTTTAACTTCAGGTGATCTGGTGATTTTGTCTTCTTCTGGTCGTCTGATATCCGTTTATCCGGGTCGAAGGTTAAAAGAAAACTTTACTCCATGTGACGTTGTGTGTGATTCTTATTTCAACGTCCTCGTCTCCGACTTATACAATCATCGAGTCCATCTGCTGAGTCCTGATGGTGAATTCTTGAAATTTTTACTAACAGAAAAAGAAGTGAACGAACCATTCTCATTATCATTGTTTAATTCCTCATTTTGGGTAGGAGAGAACAAAGGAATTGTCAAAGTTTTTCAGTGCCAAATTTAACATTGCTTTCCTGAAAATAAACTTTCCTTTATAGTACTTTATAGTTGTTTATACCTTAATTTATTGGTATATTTTAAGATAAAGTTGGTCGCATCTGTAGCATGGTCTTATTTTTTAAAAAAGGTTTCCGCTTTGTGGTTTTATGGGGTTAATGAAAGTGTAACGAGGATTGGATACATCGGCCGGGTAGCTCAATGGTAGAGCACCCGTGCGGCTAGTAGGAGGTCCCGGTTTGGTCGACATTTAAACTTTTTTTCGTTGACATTTCAAGATAAAAAAAGATTTAAAATTATGTGCGGCATTGTATTATATAGCGTGTTCGAAAAGTTTCTTTGAAAGTCACGTGGTATAAATAGTAAGGCCATGCGGTAGCATGGCACTCTAAGCTCGCTCGCTAGGATTTAAACACCCAATTTTACGTTAACGCCCCCAAAATCTACTTGATTCAAGATCAATAAAATACCGCCTGTCAATCATAGAGAAAACAATAGCTACTGATTTGATTGACAGGCCAGCTACCCGTGCTACCTGATAATCTGAATTTGCAGGTTTTGAAAATGATCGCCTGGTCACGCGTCAAACACTTTCATGTACCGCGTGAAAAGTCGCTTTGTATAATTATACATGTACACTCGGGTTATAAAAAAAAAAAATCAAGTCGCTGTTATATTGCATGGTTGGACATTTTATTGATATAATTAAGAGTAGATAATTATAACCTTGACTTCAGGATATTTTTTTCAATCTCCACTGCTGTTTGGTACTATTTAAAAGCGATATGATGTCCATGTCCAAAATAAATGTAACTCTTTTTTGAAGAAAAACTAGCGACTCGATCTTTTTCAATTACTGCCTGGGACTTGGATCCGGAGAAGAACGAAGTTCCCGTAGCAGCTAAGACCGATAATTCTTCCGAGCCCCTTCTTCAACCTTTGCCTAGATTTTAGTAATCATGGTTATGCCCCTTTCGACCCAGCATTTGGGTGCACAGAAACTCAATGCGAAGCCCGCCAGTTAAAATCATGACAAAATAAAATAGAATGTATAAGAAAAATATTCAGCATTTACGGCATGAATTACGAAAGATTCCTTCATCACATGCTTTATCTTTGCATATATATGAATACGAATAGTGATCGGTCTTAATTAAAGTCTTACAAACAATACAAATCTGTGAACATGGACCTTCAGAAATGCTGAATATTTTGGACAACATTGTTGGCACCGGGAGAAAAAATACATTCCGATTGTGGTAATAGTCCACAAGCCGGATAAATTTGATAAATGGGATTTTTTTATTTCAATGTTCATTCTCATTCAATAAATTTTATATCAAAGTTTTATTTATTTATTTATTTATTTATTTTGCTCAATATTAGATACGAAACGCGTAATATGTTGACCCTGATTACCAAAGACAGACTTCCTGTGTAATACAACGTGTATAGGGATTTTGACACTTTGAGTATTGGGGGTCTCCAGGTAAATAACAAAAGTACTACCAAGACCACTCCCCCTCCTCAGGTAACCGTACGGTAAAAAAAAATGGGTCTTTAAAGATTAGTATGGCTGATAGTGATGCAATGGAGTGCAATGAATTTGGGCTATACAGTTGTATTCGTAATGTGTTATGGTTATGTGTTAGCAGTATATAATTGAATAAAAGCAGCATTCCTACTTAATATGTTTTGTGTTTTATTCATTTATATTAAATGTATTTTAGAGGAACTTGGATTTAATTCTACAAGTGGTAATCCAACTTATACTCATAGTTCCCTTTCTACGGAAGAAATTCTTCAAAATCATATGTCAGTTTTGAATATTTTTAATATTCCAAACAACCTAAATGAATTTGAATTACCATATTTATATTGGATTCCGAAACTTCATAAAAATCCTTACAAACAAAGATACATAGCGGGTTCCAGTAAATGTTCAACGAAGCCTCTATCTTTACTCCTCACTAAGATATTAACAGTGGTGAAGGAGAAACTTCAAGAGTACTGTGCAACAATATATTCGAAAGTGGTGTAAATCAGATGTGGATACTTAAAAATTCCAAGGAACTTCTGGAAAATTTGAAATCACAAGATTTCACCAAAATCAACAGCTTAAAAACTTACGACTTTTCAACTTTGTACACAACCATTCCCCACGATAAATTAAAGTCCAGGCTTTTTGATATCATTGACAGCTGCTTTTTCAATAAAAATGGAACTCGTAAATATACTTACCTTGTCATTGGTCATTTGCAAAATTATTTTGTAAAAAAACATTCTGATTGTTCACACAAGTACTCTGAAGTTGACATTAAAAAGATGCTTGAGTTTCTGATTGACAATATCTATGTGGTTTTTGGAGACCAGGTCTTCCAACAATCTATTGGAATTCCCATGGGTACCAATTGCGCCCCGTTATTAGCAGACCTTTTTTTGTATTCATATAAAGCAGAATTTGTCCAAAATCTTGTACGTGAAAAGAAGAAAACACTTGCTGTGGCCTTCAACTCGACATTGAGATATATCGACGACGTATTGTCAATTAACGATGGCTATTTCCATTCTTATGTCGATACGATATATCCTTGTGAACTTGAGATAAAAGATACCACAGAGTCTGACACATCTGTTTAATATTTGGATATTTTACTTGAAAAAGACGTTAATGGTAATCTAACAACCAAGGTTTATGATAAACGTGATGACTTTAACTTTTCAATCGTCAACTTCCCTTACTTATGCAGCAATATACCTTCATCACCTGCATATGGGGTATATATCTCTCAGTTGATTCGATACGCAAGAGCATGCTCTACGTATGTACAATTTCTAAAACGAGGTAAATTATTGACAAATAAGTTGATGAAACAAGAATATCAGCTGTCTCGTTTAAAGTCATCATTTCGTAAGTTCTATGGTCGATACAATGACCTTGTCAGCAAATACAATTTATCATTGAGTCAAATGCTGACTGACGTTTTTCACACTAATTGTTAGGCCATTATTTACACACTGAATTGTCGACGGATTTTTCCGTTATTTCCCGATCATGACAAGGAGCACACTGTGGGTGTGACCGGTCGGCAGGGGATGCTCACTCCTCCATGGCACCTGATCCCACCTCTGATGTTTGGAGGTCCGTGTTTGCTCTGCTCCAATTTTGTATTGATTATGGACTTTTGAGCTTGAATACTGTTCGTTATCTCCATATATTTCATTAGCACTTCATTGATTTATATTCAGACAAACGAAGTGAGGGAGAATATAATTTAATTATAACGAATATCTTATTTTACATTCGTCAATGGCGTGGTCCGTTTTCCCATGCATTTATAATATTCGATCTAAGCAAAATTTCCTAATTCACTTTCATTGGTATTTATAATTCTTAATTTCAACTTTACCTGGATTCCATAGCTCATACGAAATGGGAACACCTCTTTTCTGAATATTCAAGAATAAAAATATGTGAAGAATTATTTTCTAAAGTATGATACATTACAATAATACACCATTTCAACTTCTCATTTCTTCCTATCCGCAAAATTGGCAAAATAGAAATTAATCGGGGTTCCTTTCTTAAATTGAAATGGAATATCCATATGATTCACTTTTTTATGTCCACGAAAAAGGTCAATCCAGTTATTAATGAACATTATACTTTGGGGTGTAAATGTACTACTTTAAAAATTCTATATTAATTTTAAGGCAAATGAACATTAATTTCGCAAGCGTATTAGATCTATATATTATATATATTATATTATATATAATAGTATAATTTGAACAATTATAACACATGAAAAAAAACTTTCTGAAAAAAAAAAACCAAATGAAGAAAAAGATAAAAGTTAATGAGTCTGGAAAAAATGATGGTCGTCTGGTCGTCTACCAAATTCTTTTTAGACCAGTGAGCTACAGATCTGCAGCTACATACTATGTATAGACTTGACCTCTGTGGGCACACTAGAAGAGAACAAAGCAGTGACGACTTAGTGATGTCCTTTTAGGCTTTATCAATACACGTAATTATGTGACTAGTGAGTACGACTTGTTTTCTTCAAAACACAAAAAACAGAAACTTAATCTCTTTGAAAAATGGAGACAAGGTTCACCTGAGGTGAAAGCTCAGCTGTGTTTTATGATTTAATTTAATTTTTGTTTGTTGTACGTATTTCTGTTGTTATTTATATTTTCTCATTTTCAACTTCTTCTCCAGAAGCCAATATTATTCAATTTCAACTGATGCACTCTTCATTTTTCCACTTTTAATTCAAACTATTGTTTTAAATAATGATCACTAAGGTTAAAATATGACAAAGGTGAAAAATTACACAGAACAAACCGTTGATGAAATGTATTAATGTATTAATAGAATTTTGAACGCCTCTGTAATGACACAATCAACAGATATAAAAGGACAAGAAAATAGCTGCTTGTTTTGAATTTAATATCCTCATTAAGGAGTTATATTCTATATATTACAGACAACCAGAAACTTAGCTCCATGAAAACAGTGAGGAAGAGCCATCACTGATCCTGCTTTCTATGACTTTGCAAGACAAAGTTTCTAGCAGTCCAAACTTTTGCGAAAAGGGAAAGTCAAATAGCAATTCACTTAAGGTACTCCGATCCTCAGGTTCTGAGAATCAAGAGTTGAGTAATTGAGAATGCTAAAAAAATGTCTTTGAATTCTCAACGTAATGGGTATTTACCCATGTTATTTCTTCCCAAAGTTCATCAATGCAATTAATCATATTATATTAGGAAAATTATCAAATCTCAATTTTTTTTTCAGGAAACACGAATAAAAGCACCCACTATACATTTTCTAATTGAAAATTTGTCAACAAATATGTTTTAAGATTTTAAAAAAATCTATGGGTATCCAGGCATTTGGAGACAATTGCATGTTTTTTTTTCTTTATACAGTCTTTTAGTTCTTCTGTTTACTTCAATTGTTATACAAAACATAGTGTAAAAATCTTGTGTTATCATAGC